AAATTATCGCGAATAAAATTCAAAGAAAAAATCGCATAAAAAATATCTATTTTATTTATATTTTTCTATAGATCTTCATAGAATTAATGAAATTCAATTTGAAAAACTAGAATATAATATTTTCTCTTAGTTCTGAGTTTATGTATATTATACGCATATGTGTAAAATTCTAAAATAAGAAAAAGCCGCAATGTGTTTTCCCTAAATAAACTGTAAACTCGGCGCGTGATTTGAAGAAAGAGCGTGCAGAAAGAGCGCAGCTGAAAAAGCAGACCCTGTGTTTCTCCGCGGCGGTATAATCTTACATGCATTATCGCGGAGATGTTTCGAGAGAGGAGTGCATAAAAAGTTCAGAGAAATTATACGTCTCTTAATTTCGTCGAGTGAAGAAAAAACGATGCATCGATACCGTGTGATTTACGCGCGTGTGCGTCGCGTCGAGACAGGGAGCGTAATTTCCTCAAAACACCACCGTACGATTATCCACCCTTTAATTTCGTTCAATTACCTTATATCCTCGCAATTTGCCGCGAATGTGCGAATCGATATTCGTATATACAGCCATCGCGCGAGACAGAGTCCGAAGGTAGTAAATAGAGAAAGTGCCACAACGATCTCCGTCCTCTTGGCGCCCTGTGCGATAATGAGAATAGAAGGGCGGAGCCGGAACACACACTCTTTCTCCATATCTTTACCTCTCTTATCTCTCTTTATCCCTCTTTTTTCCCGTCTCATTCGTTGCTCCCGCAGTTTTCCTTCCCTTTTCCTCTATTTATTTATTTATCAATCTATACCTATTTACCTATTATTTATCTATCTACTGTCGCACGCTCGATATATTCCTCACGCATGAAACAGTCTGAACAAACACGAGCGCGAAAGCTCGTTAGCCGAGTGAGAGAATGCACTCGGCGGGACTGACGAGGATTTAATTTCATCGACCGCCATTACGGGATTTGCACGCATAAAAAGAGCCATCGCGAAAGATCGGTCAAGTCGAAAGATTTAATCTCGCGAGGTACAGAATTTTTATCGAAGAGCAAAAAGAAGGATGTTCAATTCAACAATATCTCGTAATCATCCTACGATACTTAACACGTATTTTGAAAATTGATTAAAAGCTTTAACTCAGTATTACATATGTAAAATAGCATCAAGAAATGTTCTTTCTCTATAAATTAATATAATTAATGTTCGCTGCATTTTGACGAACAATCTTAAATAATATTCTTCAACTCTAATTAAAATCTTAAATTTTTAATTATAGTTGCAAAAGTATTTAAATGCAAAAAATTATATTAAAAGAATTGATAAAATAATGAATTAAAATTGATTAAATTAAAAAGATTAGATGCAAATATACATGACAATTAAAAGAAGATATATGTATTGTAAGGAATCCAATAAACTTTTGGAATTATTTTCATCATATAATTGAGCGAATTAACGGTTTATTGTGCACTGCAAAAAAGGAGGATCCACGTGAAGTTCGACTCGAACAAATTTCCTTCGAAGCGAAACGATGATCGCATGGTGGTGAAAGGAATTCCACGCCTGTGATTCTTATTGACAGACGCGTCACTCGAAAAACGGTTCTTTCTACGGAATCGGGAATAAAACTCGTTCGCAAACTCGTCTCGTTATTGAGTTATTATTGTCATCGTCCGGAGATTCGTTCGAGCTAACTTTCTCTTCGTTCCGCCGCGACGATTTGAGGATTCAACGCAGACGTGGAATTATCAGCGCGCTTCTTGCTCTAGCTTATCTAACATCGGGAAAGTGACCTCCCACTGTTGCGTTGGTAAAAAATTATATTTATATTTATTTCCACGAAATCCCAATCTCCACGAAAGGTATATTTAATAGCAAAAGTTTCACTAATATTAATCCGAATTAAATTAATTCGAAAATTAAGTAAATTGCATGTATTTACGTATGTATACACTGAAAAAATTTGTTAACTTGACTAAATCTTTCAACTAAATTATTATTTTATTAATTGAACATATATTAGTATTTGAATTAAATATACGTTTTGTTAGATTTAATATATTATATTGAATTTAAATATTTTTATATGATCAATTAACAAAATAATATTTAGTTGAAAAGTTTAGTCAACAAATTTTATTTTCAATATATGTGTAATAATACTTATTTCATTATAGATAATATTATAATAATGTAATAATAATTTAATAGATATTTTATTATTATTAAAGTATTATAAAATTGAATTATAGTTATAAAGAATGTTTTTTGAGTAACATCAAAAAAGCTTGTCTGCTCTTAATTTCAAACCGATTACGTATATACATATATGTATATAAGTACGAATGCCAATCGTGTATCTTATATGATCAACAAGAAGTATACCTACTGACTATGGTTGAAAATGAGCCAACTATGGCGATATCTCGACGCGAATATTTCGAGCAACAAAGTGTGCAAACGGTAAAATTATTATTCCACCAGCTGTGCGATCGTTAATTACGTTTACATTGAATATAAGTCAACGCGTATAAGCCTCCATGTTATTTTGCGAAATTCGAGGACAGCCGTGACGGCGTTACGTGAGTATTGTTCCAAGTGTTGGCTGATACTGGGTGCACGTCGTCGCGAATATCACGTCGTTAACAACGGAGTTGACGTGCGAAATGTGCGTACTTATATATATATATATATATATATATATTCTCTGGTCGTACTTATATATATATATATACGAACGCAACAGTCGACAATATCGCATTCATCACGCGTTTTACGAGACGATTCATCGAGTCACGAAATATTTTACACTTTACTTATACAAAGCATTAGATTTATGTACATAAGAGAACCCCGCTAATCTTTCTTCACTCACCCCTCTAATTGAATTTCTTATTACCGCATTTAAATTTTAATTCTCCTTTATGCTTTATCATATAAATCGTATATAATCCGTTGAACTGAATTAATTAATTAATAATTATTACTTAGGGAGGCTGAATTAATTTATTTTCCAAAATTTTCTTGAAAAGGGCAAAGATTGTATCGTAAGCCACGTCTTTTTTTCAGCCAACGGCAACATTTGTAAGAAGTAAATTAAAGTTGCGTGCATGTTCGACCGATATATCGAGGCTATGTACATAAGTCGCACACGTGCGAGAGATGCGTGCGTAAGCCAGGCACAAGTCGGATATCGACGTACACACAAACATACACATATATGTTACTGCCCTTCATTGGCTGTTTTGCATTTAACAGGGCCGCGCCAAGGACAATGGTGGTGCAAATGCATCAACATAACGCGATGTCGTGTGATCAAGGTCGTCGTTTTCACGAATCGAAACGAGCGCCGAAATATTTAACAAGACGAGACGCAAATAACAAGTGCTAAAAACTGTGTTTCGCCATTAGGTTACCAAATTTAAAGCTTTGTAGTTCGAATTGTGACATAATTCCCGAAGCATATTTATCTCTCAAATAATAAAAATGTAAAAAAAAGAAATATTTTTTCGATCAAGCTATTCGTAATATAAGAAGTTAAAACTCGTTTAATCTGTGATTTGACCCTGACATTGATAATTATGATTGACCTTGATTGATAAGGTTGTCATCGATTTGTCGATATCACGGACTATATATAATCATATATAATTTAGGTAATGGCGCAATACGTTGATAAAGAGAAATTAATGTGATTACTCAGAATATTAAAATTTAAATAGTTGCGTTCTTCGCAAATGTAAGAAGTGATATTTCAGGATGTACTCTCGTTTAGTGTTAAATATGGCCATCTAGTTTTAGATTTGAACGAGACAAGCGTTATACATACTTCGTGTAAACAAGAGCAATACATTAGATAGCCGCACATTTAGCACTAAATGGGTGGTGAGAATGCTGACCAGAGTATGTTAACTCTCAACTGCAATATCTATAGTCGGAACTATGCTTTTCACTTTGCGGCCGCAAGAAGCGGCTTTCTCTCTCTATAACCTTCGATATTTCTCCTCGCATTTTAAATAAAAAATAATAAAATTCGATCTTTCGTTTCAGTTTTAAAAATATGCAAAAGCAATTCAAGATCTTTTGGGTAAACATCAATAACCATACAATCATATACAATTTATAATGTACATAATATATTATTGATTAACATTTTAAACACGGTAATGGTACTACACATTATTCATGCATATTATTTTTTACATATTTATACGTATTATTTTATACACATTATTTTGTGGTTTCTATATATCAATATCAATATTTATAAAAAAAATGTATAAAAAAAGAGTTACAAAATTTGTATATTAAAATTACTATTAAATTACTTAATATCACATATTATTTAATAAATTATTACCTACAATAAAACATGTATACTCAAATATACACCATTTATATTTATAATATAAAAATTTATTTTATATTGGAGAATTTTACATCATTACTTAGTTTGTGAAATTTTTTCAAAGGATATTTGAAAGAATGTATCAAGAATTTTTAATTTGCGATTTAGTTTTTATTTTACGATAGACAAACAATTTTTTGAGGAAAAAATTCTAAATTTTTTGATAATAATAACAGTATCGATGTGTTGTCGATTTATTAAAATCTATACAGCGATATTATTTTACTATTTATGATTATCATGTATCATTTAATAAATTATCTAGTATAAAACATTTATATACTCAAATACGCACTATTTCTTATTTATATATAAAAATTTATTTTATATTGCATAATCTTACACAATTTCATATTTATAAAATGTTTTCAAATGATATCTTAAAGAATGTATTGTACATATCAAAATTTTTAATTTACAATTTAGTTTTTATTTTGCGATAAACAATTTTTTGAAGGGAAAAATTCCAAATTTCTCGATAATAACAACAGTATCAGTTGTCGATTGATTGAAATATATACAGCGGTACCATTTTGCCGAGCTTAAAATGCTAAAAGGCTCGAGTCGATCACTCGAGTGGAAATGAGAGTTGTGCACTCACCTCGATAAGGTGCCCTTGAGCAAAGGATTCCTGTCGTCATAATACCCGCCGCCGGACGAAGGCATCTTCAAGTAATCCAAACAACGAGCGTGTGGCACTGGTCACTAACACTACGGCACTGCATCACTGCATCAGTTGTTCGTGTGATCTGATCCACTGGGTTTAGCTCTCCATTCACCACCGATAATACACTGCCGGTAGTCGCGATGACAGTTTATCTCGACGGTTGTTACGCGCGCGATGCATCGTCCTTCCGGCGACAATGACAGCGGCAACTGCGACGATGGGAACGATTACGATGGGAACTACGAGGGAACAAAGTAACCGCGCATATCGCGACTTATTCACGACGGGAAAACAAGAAAAAAAACCCTCGCGACTTCCTCCGAAAATCGGGATTAATCTCGAAGCCGTACGCGGAGGATACTCGCGTCAAGATAACATCAGCTGTCTTGTCTTTCGACTTCCACCTCTTCCTCGTATCCAATTCTGCCCTTCTCGTCTTATCGATATAATAACAAACTTGCTTTTCGTCGAGATTCTTTCATAAATCTTCGTACAAAAAAAGTTCCTGACAACTCGAAGAAATCAAACATTCAGTGAAAATATCCGTGATGTCCAGTCACAAACACTGTCAGAAGGGACCGATCGGAATAACTGTCACAGCGAAATTCCACACTTTCCGTAAACAAACTCACCACGAAGGACGTAGACTCTAAAGCACGATAGCGATAACTCGATCGCGGTTCCGAAGTTCGTGCGACCAGATGATATTAGCCACCAGTTGACTGATCGACTGCGCCAACACGCTTGCGCGAACGCCACGGTGATTCCCCTTCTCTCTCTCTCTCTCTCTCGCAGTCTTGCGATCACCAGATGTGGCGTCGCGACGACGACGTCAACCCGTTCGGGAGTGCCTTCACCTTGTCGGTCCTGGTTGTTTCTCCTTGTTACACCTGCGAGCAGAATGATACAGTCTCTCAGATCCGAATCGCTACTGTCTCTCGCGAGGATTCACGCACGTGTACGTACGCACACGCACCATCTGGTGCGAGGCTGCAACTGGCCGCGTCAACACGTGCAGCCACCGCTACCAAACATGGCCGCCTGTCAATTCCCCCCAGTTGCTACCGTAGCAGAAGACGCGATCGCTCTTTGATTCGCCGCCGAGAGATTTGCACTTACAATTAGTTTGGTCGCTATCGATGTCGCGGATTTCTGCGGATCGATCGCGCGAAATCTGTTACGATTCAACGCCGCCGAAATCACGCGCGATACGCTTTAATCGGCCGAGTGAAAGTGCGGCGAGCGCAGCTGACAGTCGCTCGGCCGATCTCGCGTTGCCCTCCCTCCCTCCTACCCCCTTTTTTCTCCCTCTCTCCGTTCCTTCCTTTCGATCCTGCTTTTCTCGCTCTTTTTCTCTTTCTCTCTCTCTCTTTCTCGCTAACCAGTCCACGCGCGAAGGCTGTCGTTGACGTAAACAAACGGAATATTCCCCGCTGGAGCATCGCGAAAGTAAAGGTTTATTTAACGGAATCATTTTTGTCTTATAACGAATTCACACGAGCCCCGTCGATTGGACAATAATTAAGCCTAATTCACATGTTCGTGTTATTCGAAATTATAGTTGGAGCCTAATTAAAATTTAAATGGGAAATCAAAAGTGTGTGTTTAGCAATGGTATTCTCTCTCTCTCTAGTTCTTTTTCTCCGAGTTATGTTAACTTATTAATTAAAAACTGGATTATGAGAATCGATGTTTATCGTTTTTGCTGCAATTAAATGTTTCAGAACCAACGACATATACGTATAGATATACAAGCGTTTTCTCCGCGGAGATAAAACCGGAAATTGGCAGTTTGAGATTGAGAGAGATAATTTTATTGTCTCTCAGCGTATCTTTGTCAGTCGTACGTCGTCATCGAATAACAAGATATGTACGTTGTCAATGGTCGCTTCAAGGACAATATACAAGATATGATTTAGAATTGATAGAGCGTACTAAAATTTCAAATACAATTATTTCACTACAACTATATGTGATATCGTATCTATTTATTATACGTTATGATTAATCATCAACATATATCCCGCCACGATTAAGCACTCTCGAGTAATGCATTGTATATTAATTTTTACACACATATATATGTATAAACGATAGCAAATAAACATTTCTTAGAATCATCAATTTACAAGATAGAGTGAGAAAGAAAATATTAAATAAAACAAATAAATCCTTGCTATATCCAATTAAATGAAATATTAGAATCGTATACAATAATTATTTTATTCAGATTTCACGCATTAAAATACATATATTTAATTTTTTTTCTCTACATCTCATCCTTCAAAATTATTTTAAAGAAAATCCTTAAAAAAAATGCAGTTAAAATGCATATATGTATATTTAATTTTTTTCTCTACATCTCATCCTTCAAAATTACTTTAAAGAAAATCCTTAAAAAATGCACTTAAAATGCATATATTTAATTTTTTTCTCTACATACAATAACTTAATTCTAATTCTTTATATACTTATATATATATATAGATAAAAAATCCACGATATTAAAGGCACGCAGCGAGCTGAGACATCCTAAATATACGTTACTGTTATTACGATATAACTGCGCTGTTACAGCACAGTGTTCACACAGATCCCTTACCTTATTCAAGATTCCTCGGCGAACGCAATCATTTTTTTTCAAAACAGTCTTTTTGTCTCGAGATTTGTGAAAGGTTTCGCGATCTTCTTCCGCCGATAACTTGAAGTATGCCGCAACGCGCGAGGCAGAGAGACGGTCTGGCGTCTCTTTTCCCCCCAAATCTTCGGAACATGGACGGACGATATTCGGAAAGCGACGATGTACGAGGAAGGAAGGGGAAGGGGAGCCACGCGCTTCCGAACCCACGACGAAGGTGCTACGCGTGTCGCCGTAGAGCGGAACGGCACCAGGTGAAGTGGTCGTTTATTTATAAACCGCCGCGAAAGCAGAGAGAAAAGAACGCGCCCGGTTGATTCGCGTCTCTCGCTTCGTAAACTGCGAGCCCGCTGCGCGCCAGCTGTCACGTGACCGCCGGAGCCGAGTCGAGTCGAGCCGAGCCGAGTCGGGCCGAGGCGGGCGCGTCAAATTGTAAATACACGTTTGTATTATTTTAAAGAAATGTTTATTATATTAACATTCGTATTATTATTCTCTCCTTGAAGAGTCTCTTTGAAATTCTGCTTCAAATTTCTTTCATTCGGATTCTGATATATTTTATTCTATCTCTATTAACTATACCTCTTTTTGCGCGCGATTGAAAACTAGGGAGACATTATATTTGTAATATTTATAAAAAGGGACAAAATTGTAATTTTTATATTTCTTGTTTTTAAATATTATTTTTCAATTATTTACTCGTCAAATATAGATATGCTTTATGTACATATCTGCGTAATATATGTATAATATATCTTGTGTTTTGTGCATATTTTTAAAGTAAGTTTTGTAAAAAGTATTATCAAAAAGTATATTGTGAAAAGTATTGTAAAAGTACACAGAGAGAATTTTCTCTTAGAATTTACTCTGAAAATCATGGTAATTGTGGGACAATATAGTATTGGATGAATTTTAGAAGTATTTCTTTGATTAATATTTACCACAATAAAAAAATATTAATATCTACCACAATAAGATATAAAATACGTTCGATTAATTTTACTATGGACATATTAATATTTTTTTTGTGATAAATATTAATCAGAAAAATTCATAAAATTTTCCAGTACCATATTATCCCACGATTATCATGATTTTCAGGGCAAATTCTAAGAGAAAATTCTTTTCATGTATTAATAATAATGTTTTCTTTATTTAAATTATTAATATGGCAAAATGTAGGGGAAATGTGAAAAGACTTTTCAATATAAAATCTCGATATTAGAAAGTCCTATAAAATCCAGATTGCAAATATGTTGGCGTGTAAATATTTATGGTAATATATAAATGATTGCTTTGATAATGATCAACAAACATGAAATGAGTGTGTTTAGCCTGCTAATGTTTCTTTAATTTAGTTTGTTATTAAGAATCCATACAACAAGTCCAAATGTTTGCAATCATTATCTGTTTTTTTATTGTGGCTCATATTCTGCCAAAAAAATATTTTTGTTTTTAATTATATGTAATCGTGATTACTAAAAGCTTAGAATAAAAATTAGAAACAATTTTCAAAAACCATGCGATTATCTTTTCAAGAAAAAAGGATATACATATTCCTTAAAAACAAGATTCAATCGTATATTAATTCTTAAATCTTAAGATGTGTGTGTGGCTCTATAATAAAAATAACAGTATAAATAAAGTAAAAAAAGTTGCTTCATTAAATTTAAATCTCTTTAAATTATCAAGAAATAAAAAATATATTAAGATTATATTTTTTCTGAAAATTATTTTTAAAACCGAAGGTTTGAGAGATCAAAAGCAAGAACATCGTAAAAAAGTAAATATTGCAAGAGACTTAAAAAGACTTACATTCTAGAATTAACGCAGATTAGCCGCTATTTTTATCTGCAGGAATTACTGTTTCACGACCAGCAAGTCGAGCTCAACCGGCGTCATTCCTGCAAATTCTGATAAAGCGTCAAGCATGTGAGGCTACTTGTATATCTTAATGTCCGTGTGATAAGAATAAGTGCGTAAACAAGAAGCTCGACTTGATAATCTCGACGTAAATCGGTGCGATTAATAATCGCGTTTCAAGTTTCAAAGTTTGCCAAGAAATCACCAGCTGACAATATAATAACTATCAAAAGTTTCCAAGTGTCTGTGAGATCTAAGATGAAAATTCGATTGGTGATATTCTTTTTCCGAAAATTGCAGATTCCTTTAGTTTCTAAGTTTTCCAGAAGAACAATCTCGTTAATTATACAACATTATATTGAAGTTGCGTATATATATATCAGGGTTCCTTTATAACTTAATTCTCGAGATAAATATTTGACAGCTGCACAGATGACAGCATCCTTTTCGCTATATTTTTTTTTAATAAATGCCTCGAAGCATACAATATTGCAAAAATAAGATGGCAAAATATTCTTCGATTAACTTCGCGAGCCGACTTTGCTTAACATTTTAATTTTAAAAAATATATTTATATGTACGAATAATGTCAAGAACGGGAAAGATATAGAATTAGCGAACGATATATGATTTATGACGCAGCTCTTGGAAACAATTGAAGGCTAACTTGTTTCCAAACTGATCGAATAAACTGTAAGGTCAATGATTTCGCATTTGTAGAAAAGAACGGAAGACTGCCAAGTTTCTGTCTAAGCGCGTGCGTTACGACTCACAATCGCACGGAATTAAAAGGATAACGAAGGTCGTGTTATGATTCGAATCCCAGGAATCCCTCCCGTTACGACATTCCATGTTATAAATCGTAATTATTGCTTTCTCCCACAGCTTTTCCACAACCGTCTTCACATCTCTATACACTTTCACCGCGTGCACATCTTTTTGCCCGCGTGCTCGAAAATTATCGTTCTCGCAATCGATATGAGTAATTTCTAATAAAGAAAATTTTAAGATTTTCCAATAATTTTTTATTTTTTAAAAACACTGACCCTTTTCGCAACGCGAGAAAAAATACAGAAGCAATTAACATCACATCAAAGATAAGATTTTAAAGAGATTATTAAAAGAAAATTCTGATAATCTGTAATTTTCTTTAAAAAGAAGGCGAATGTATAGCGTCGTGTAAAAACAGTGAAACTCAAAAAAAAAGATCCCAATTTAAGAGCTAAATCTCAATAATTAGTAACTTTCGAGTGGCCGATGCGAAGAAAACGATTCGGAATCGAATGGATAGTGTCTTGATCGGAAGGGGCACAATTTCGCAGCTCGGAAAAGGAAAAAAAAGAGAGATGAAAAGAGAGAGAGAAATTCCAAAAGCGGGACATTCTCGAAACGAGCGCGGCCGTGCTGAAAGTTACGCCGCAATAATCGCGCGCAGAGAAATACGTACACATATGCATGTGGCAGATCGAAACACTGAATGAGAAATATCCTTTTATACGAACCGGTTGATACGCACACACACATCGTCGTTTCATTCTCGTCAAAGTCGAAAGT